TTATCGATCGTGAGATCGGAGATGACGGGACTGTCCTTATCCATGAAGGTAGCCCGCTGAATTGCTAGGCCTTCTAGTGAAGAGACGCCCTCGGGGATCTCTTGCAGATACATATTCACTTCACCTGGGACAGCGGTAATCCTTACCTGAAAAGGTAGCGCAAACACTTGATTGATTCTCACAAATAATGCCACCCAGGTTTCGTAAGTTACCCTCCCCAAGTGACGTAAATATCGTGATATAAATCATGGAAAAGGAAGAAGACTTGTTGAGCATCGGATCACTTCGTTTACCGTCCTGAGCTTTCGAATTCTTACAGGAGTTAATCTTCAGGGATAAGAAGCAGCAAAGAAAGGAGGGTAATTTAAGTGGCCACTAGCCAATCAGCTGTCAGCGGTCATCAGGACATCAGGGGGTAAGAAACATCGACCAAAAACAGGATGGGTGTGGGGGGCAATTATAGTGGCATACGCTAATTGGCTGTCAGTGAAGTCACCGGTCGTTCGGGGTCATAAACAGTAATTAGTACAATACCCTGTCCCCACGGTATAGGCTCCCAGTGACTCTGCCTCATCTTCTGGCCGGTTTTTCGTGAGGTCTTCTTCGTTTGCAATTCTTACTTTCGGTTTTTTCTTGTTCCATCCTTTCCTCGCATAATGGCGTAAGACGTTTTAGGCCGGGGGAAATCTAGACGCCTGTTGACGGAGATGACATCTCAGTACCGTGCCTCAAGCGTCAGCCTTTCGGCTTTTGAGTTTCCTCGGCTTACAATGCTTGCTCCTTGAATATCAAAGTTACGACTAGTCTCTTCAATGTGTGTTGCAAGCTGTGAGTTTTGATCTAGTCTCCGGGCTGCCTGTTTTGTTCGTGAAGGCGATTCTGCAATGTTCGGCCTGTTTCTCCTACGTAGTTACAATCTCCATCATTGCAATGTATCTTGCAGGCAATTGTATAGGTTTCAGAACGGACAGTCTGTCTTAAGGTTGCATCACTCGGCGGCGTATTTTCGCCTAAGGTCGATGGGCTACGCCTACTCCAGTGGGTTGTAACAGTCGGTTTTCCTTCGTTCCTTGCACCCTCTCTCTCTCTTCTTCTCCTTCTTATACTTCTTCTTTTTCGTCTGCCCATCCACAATTGCAAAGTTCACCAGTTTGCTTCTCTCATTCCTTTCAGCCCCGCCCACGGACGCAAACCGGAAACGGAGCATGGGTAGTGCCTTTCAGTCGATGACTGAATGGTTACCCGTCTC